AGTGGGCCGAACGGCAGGACTGGGAGTGGGCCGACAGGGTGGGGGGTTTTTGGCCGATTGGGCTGACGGGGTTATGGGGCTGGGTTGGGTGGGTGACAGCGGGTTGGGGGGTGTGGTGTGGGTTGGGTGGGTCGTCCTCCGTGGTGTCCAGAAAATGGAAATCATTAGGATTGGAAGATTGGGAAAATGGAAAAGAGGACTCATCAAACACTACATGTCGGGAAACAATGATTTTGTTAGTTTGGAGGTCAAGACAGCGATATCCGCGTCAGGAAAATGCACCGAGCAGAGCGCGGGGCGAGTTTGTGTGGGGCGGTGGCAGTGGTGTTTGGATAGCAAAGGCACCCAAACACACGAAGGTGGGAGTAAGTAGGTGGAGTTTTATATAGAAGGGTGTGTGGGGTGTGGTTGTGAAGTGTGGTGGTTGGAAGAAGGTTGAAGAGGTGAGCAGCCATGTGTAGGGCCTCAACCCAATATTCAGGTGGTAGGTGGGCTTGAAAAAGAAGAGTGCGAACGGTATTGTTTATGGTGCGAATGGTGCGCTCTGCCCGGCCATTTTGCTGGCTAGTGTGGGGACACGAGAAACGGAATAAAATCCCTAAAGAGGCAAAAATATTTTGGAGGGGGGAGTTGCGATATTCTGTACCATTATCACATTGAACAGATTTAATGGTGGTGTTAAAGTGGTTTTGAACATACTTAGTGAAAGAATTTAGATGATTGAAAGCATCAGATTTTTGTTTTAGAGGAAAAACCCATAAATAATGCGAGTAATCATCTAATAATAACATGTAATGTTTAAAACCAGTAACACTAGGTATAGGAGATTGCCACAAATCTGTATGTAATAATTCAAACGGAAAAGTAGAGACACGACAGGACTGATAAAATGGGAGACGAACATGTTTTCCCAACTGACACGCATGACATAAATTTAGACTAGAATGTTTAAATAAATGAGAAAGACTCGAGACGCCACGGAGAACGGCTGGACTTGGGTGGCCCAGGCGCCGGTGCCATGTTTGGATGTCAACTGACGCGCTGAGTGCTTGGGCTTGTGCGGTGGGGCGCAAGGGGTAGAGGGGGCCAGCATTATTGGATCGATGTATCACGGTTCCCGTCCGAAGATCCTTCACAGAAAAGCCATGAACATCAAATTCAATACAGCAGTGATTGTCACGGGTAAATTGTCGGACAGAAATAAGATTGTGGATAATATGAGGGGATATAAGGACGTTTTTAAGGGATAAAGGGGGGTTAGTGGGAAAAAAATGGTTACCAACAGCCGTAGTGCTAACTTTAGATCCATTACCTATAGTGATATGAAGAGGTGAATTTAATGATTGAGAAGAGACATGAGAAATAGTACCTGGGTCGGAGGCGATGTGATGGGAGGCCCTGGTGTCCATTAGCCAAGTGGGTTCCCGCAAGCTCATAGTGTCAAAGTTGTGGGCAAGGGCCGTGGGGGTGGGGGTGGGTGCCTGCGGGTAGGTGAGGGGGGAGGGGTAGGGTACCGG